AGTAAAATGTTAAAACTCCGCCCATCCACATGGCCAAGGACAGGGAACAAATAAACCATGACATCCTGTTAGAGGGGGATTCACAGAGAAGGCAGACTCCTGGAATTAGAAAGAAAAGAAAAAATGCAAGATATAATAGATGAAGGCTAAGTACTGTACCAACTTTGTATAGTTAAGAAGCTGTGTATCTTCAAAATGATCTTGACAATAAAAATCTGACACTAAAACAACAACAAAAGACAAACAAACCAAACAAGATGAACAGAACATATGTTCCCCAGTCATAATTTATCTAAGTACCACGCCTGGCCAAATTTTATAGAAACTTAAATTATCCCAAGTAGTAAAGGCACCAATGATAAAGACTACGTGTTATGAAAAAAACACACAAAGCAAACTGAGACGTAATTAGAGCAGACGTAATTAAAACATTATGAAAGCCTAAATCTCACAGTTTGGCCATTTAAAATGTCAATAAGACGGTTCCCTCTTTGCAAGATACTGGTGGTGACTGTAAGCAATACATTTAGAAGGTTGCTAATGTTTTGACAGGAAAAAAAAATTTACCACAGACCTTCTTGGAGAACCTAATCAAAATTTCTGATTTCATCCAGCTGAACAAATCAACTCTTACTTGAACATGCTAAAAAACACGTTTAAGTTGTGTGAAAAGGATGAAACCGGTAGTTGTACCTTAAGAAATATAAGGAAAACTTGGACACCTATTTGAAAATTGATCAAAAAAAAATAAGCAAATGAAAAAAGGTTTAACAACTCTAAAGTTGTTCTACTCATGTTTGTTCCTAGAAAATTAATTTCAGCCATTCATATCATTAAAAACCAGAAACAATTAATATTTTTAACTGCATGGCTGGACTGTGTACAATATTACAAGCTTCAGAAAATAGTTGGCATTTATACTCCAGCAGGAAAAACTAGGATGGATTTTAAGATTTCTTAAACTTTTAATATTGTTTGAGATGTGAAATTGCAAATTCCTTGGATAACAGAACAAAAAATCATAGCAGCTTTTCAACAGTAAGTCACAATGAAATAATCTAGAAAAAATAAGCCAAGTTGGCTACCCAGTGTTTTGGATGAGTACCGAAATCTGGCTCATAGATACTTGGGAATCCATCTATTCTCAGAATAAAGGCCCTAGCTTATAAGAATTTATTCTAAACTGTTCTTAAATGGAGAAAGTTCAGATACTCAGTACATTGGACTCTTAAGAATAACAACTATAGTTGAATCTGCATTTCTCAAAAATCTAGTTCAGATTCAAGACCAAAGTGATCATCCTTCTGCATGAGCGCAAGCCTAATATAATTCCTCAAAGCGTTATAAGCTTAGTTAGAGTCAAAAGTGTTACCCATGTGGTGCTCGCTTTGGCAGCACATATACTAAAATTGGAACGATACAGAGAAGATTAGCATGGCCCCTGCACAAGGATGACACAAAAATTCATGAAGCGTTCCAAAAAAAAAAAAAAGTGTTACCCATGTGGTCACTAACAAATGATTTTAAAATTATTTTTACACAAAAGTATAGTTCTAGCCCTAGCCGGTTTGGCTCAGTGGATAAAGCGTCAGCCTGCAGACTGAAGAGTCCCAGGTTCGATTCTGGTCAAGGGTACATGCCCAGGTTGCAGGATCAATCCCCAGTAGGGGAAGTGTAGGAGGCAGCCGATCAATGATTCTCTCTCATTATTGATGCTTCTATCCCTCTGTCCTTCTCCCTACCTCTCTGAAATCAATGAAAATTTAAATTTAAAAAAATTTAGTTCTAGTCTCTCTTTTGTAAAATACTGAATAAATTCACTTTGGGGGCATCATTCATATTCCACATACCATGTAAGGCACTGCATAGAATATGCTGCTGCTGTGATTCCAAATAAATACATTATATTAGAGGAAGGACCATAACATAAAACAAATTTTAAAAATATATATATACATATATATATGTCAATAAATAATTTCACATATTTCTTTCTAATATTTACAGCTTTTATTTATTTTTCTTGCCTTATTATAATAGTTAGGGCCTACATTCTTTGGTAAATAGAAGTTGTGATAGAAGCCATCCCAAACTAACAGGAAAGTATTTAATATATCACTATTGAGTATGATGTTGGCTTTAGATTTTTTTATGGATAATCTTTATCATATTGATAATGTTTCTTTCTATACCTAATTACCTGAAAGGTTTCTTTTCTTATCATAAATGGCTATTAAAGTTTGTCAATAGTTTTTTCCCACTTCTATTGAGATGATCTTATAGTTTTCTTCTTCATTCTATTGATATGGTGAATTACACTGAATGATTTTCAAATGTTAACCAATGTTGTAGTCCTGGAATATCTGTTACTTGGTCCTGATGTGTAATTCTTTTCAGATATCATTGGATTCTATTTGGTTATAATTATATGTAAATTATACCAAGGAAAAAAGGAGAGGGAAAGGGAAATGGGGGAAGGAAGGAGGGAGTGTGGGTATGAAAAGATGAGGCTAAAAGAATTACCAAGAAAAGAAAATCATGACAGCAGAGTAGAATTATTTAATAGAAGTGTTAGTAATCATCATTGAGACAATCTCTCAAAAGAACAAAAAACAAACTACCTTTTAATTAATCATTATAGGGGGTGTAAGTGTCAAATAATACAAATAACCAGAAAGAGAGAACCAAAAGAAAACAGAGGAAAATAAATTATCAAAAAAGCAATTTAAGAAATTTCCTCAAAATTAGGTATAGTCTTTACATTTCACACTGAAGGAGCTCAGGACAATACATGAACCTAGAAACAAAACTGAAAATGAAAAGTTTCAGAATCCTGGATGCCACAGAGGAAAATAAGCCAATTATAAAGAAAAAGGTATCAACATGGCTTCAGATTCTTCAGCCATAAGACTAGACCAATGCCTTCAAAATTCTGAAGTAATATTATTTAAAAACAAAAGTATTGTTAGCCTAAGCATCAACCAAGAATATGGAAGAATAAAGACATCTACAGACAAACAAGAGTTACCACAAATCAGCACCAGCCAGTGAGGCTCAGTTAATTGAGTGTTGGCCCATGCACCACTATGTCACTGGTTCAATTCCTGGTCAGGGCACATGCCCTGCTTGCAGACTATATTCCCAGTAGGAGGCATGTAGGAGGCAGCCAATTGATGTTTTTCTCTCTTTCTCTCCCCCATCCTTTCCTCCCTCCTTCCCTCTCACTTCATCCCTCTCTAAAAAAAAATCAATAAAAACATATTTTAAAAAGCCTAACACAAATCCTTTTTTCAGGAAATTTCTTAAGGACTTTATTCCATCAAAATGAGCACATAAAGCAAAATGGACAAAAGGTACTCATTTTTCCATTATAAATCTTATGTGATCAGTTGCATTATAACTTTAATGAAGACAAATCTAAAAAAATTAACCAAATACAATAAAGGAGACATGTAACTTTTGCAAGTCATAACAGAACATTTAGCTACCAAATATATGAAATTATATTTTAAATCTGATATTTTTTTAAAGTAAGCATATTACAGAAGATGGAAGAATCTTTTTTCAATCAAAGTAAATTAAACATATTCAAATTCTACTAGTAATATTAACTTTTATAGCTTTATACTCTCTCATGAAGTATCTACCCAAAGCAAAAGTTGAAAAAGTTGAAGAACTGACATAGACAAAAGAGCTTCATAAATGAAATGAAGGAAGAAAAATTTGCCTCTGTCAATTACATACAAAAGAAACAGACTTAGCACAGTCCTTCAGTAATAAAGTTTTTCTTGATTCTAACCATCCAAAGGAAAAGCTGACTATTCAAAAAAATAAATAAATAATGTTCTTTGTCAAAAGATTTCACCAAAACATAAATACAACAGAAACTGGAGCAAGGGAGTGAGAGTGCAAAGGAGAGACAGGGAAAAAGAAAGCTGAAATCTGTATATGCCATAAAATTCAAAAACAAGGAGAAAATCTCCACGTGACTTCAGGATACTATTGTCTTACTACCTTCACCTTCTCATTTCAATTGAAATTTAATCACCACATTAATCCTAACATTACTACTCACATGGTTATTTTAATAAACATCATTTCACCAATTTAGAGAATTAACTGTTTAAAGAAGTAGTAGGAGAAAGATTTCCCAACTTCTGGATAGTTTTTAAAAACATAAATTAAATATTTTAATATCCTTTTTTAAAACATTTCATAGTATGCAAATAATATTAGGATTGTTTTTAGTGCACATGCTAAAATGCTGAGTGAACACAGGCAAGTTAATGAGAAAATACAACCCTTAGGAAGTTCAGATCATTAAAGAGTCAGGAGTTACTTAGGCATCCAAATAGCAGATTTAATTTTAAAATGTACTTAATTCTGTAAAAAGTAAAAATAAAATATGATATTTAAATACAACATTAAGAAGTATTCATTATTAAAGCAGAGATCCAAGGTCAAAAGCCAGAAACTGTACTTCTGACATAGCTGGAAATGCAGAGAGCAGACTCCTCTCTAATCAAGATAATGATGAAAAACCAAGCTCTCCAAGGCAGGCAGTGTAACTGCGAAAAGGAGTAAAGACACAAGAACAACAGAGACTTGGGGAATACCCAGAGAAGAAAGCTAAACCAGAAACATAACAAAAGCAGCACAGTCAGCAAGGAAGGGACCTGGGAGGAGCGATGCCATGAAAACCAGGAGAGAAGAGGCATTCAAGAAAGAGCCAGCCAAGTCAGAAGCTAAATCAAGATCAAAGAGGATGAAGATAAATCAAAAACACAGCAGAAAGTGAATGGCCATATTGAATTGGTTAAGATTACCTATTTCCATCTCAACTGACGGGACTAAAAGTTTATCTTGGGGGGGAAGAGGAGAAGGGGTATAGACACTTGGGAGAAAACAGACTTTAGTTATCATTCTTGCTGTCTGTAGTCCAAGACCAAAAAAAGAGAAATGTTCTGAATGATTTGTTTCTTCTTAAGGGCTACACTCACCAAACTGTGGAGCAGGCAAGATCCTAGCCGCCCGAATTGGGCCATTTCGAACAGAGAATAGCTCCTGTGCTTCCCCACTGATCTGCAAGAGAAGACAAAAAATTTCAGTAAATGAAAACACAGGTCCAGACATTAATATATGAAAATGAGATCTCCTGAATGTTATCATAACTTATTGTCTCATATGTAATACACACACACACTCATACACATTTATGGCTCATCACACACATTAAATATACCGTATCTTAAGTTATCATTAGTATTCCTAGAAAATTGTAAGAGCATGCACTTGATATGAATGGTAGAATATGTGGTCTGTCTGGAAGTCTATAATTTTTAATCTTTAATAAACTACTATAAATCAGCTCAGTTCCTGCATGACTGCTTTCCAAAGCAACTATGATTTTTTGAAAAGCAGATCTTAAATGTTGTAGTAAATTTCAAAAATACGTTGTAAAAGAGGAAAAGCAAAATATATTGCAAAGAACCCTGAAGCAAAATGTCAATGACCTAGTTACCAGTTATAGTTCTGCAACTAACTAGCTGTTAACCACCTTGAGTAAATCATTTGACCTCCATAAACATTTTTTATATTCTTTTTTCTTTCCTGAACATATTTTTAATAAAAATTGTTTGTATTCAAGGAGAACAACAGGATGATTCGATATACATATACACAGTAAAATGATTGCAGCAGACATCTCCTCATAGTTACCTTTATTGTGTGATAAAATTTCAGAGCACCTGAAATCTACTGCTTAGCATTTTCCCAGTATGTAGTACAGTATTGTTAACTACAGTGATCACAACGGAACATTCGATCTCTGGACTTACCAACTTTACATCCTTTGACTAACAACTCCCCATTTCCTCCACCTCCCATAAACCTATTCTTTTGCATTTATAAACTGAGAAGGTAAAGGTGCTAAAAGACAAAGATACTTCTAATTTCAATATTCTATGAATAAAAAATTAATATGTAAACTTCATTAAATGTTACTGTTTTTGCTATACACATAACACTATATGAATGACCGTTCATTTTGAGTCATATCAGACTTATTTCTCAGATATAGAGTATAGCAATCTATTAAAACAAAGGTAAAAGGGATATGCTAATACATGTGTCAAGTGTGAAAAAACAACTGTTTTTTCAAAATTAGTGGCTCAAGAAAAAAGTTTGCTGCTAATTGAAATATTGAGTAGATTAAATGTGAATTAGTTAAGAAAGGCTTTCCAGACTACTTTAAGTGGTAATGTAGTTCCTAATACATTTTCATTTTCTTCCCCAATACATTTTCATAACTGTCAATTGTTTGATGGAATATATAATATCAGATAGGGAAAATGGCAAACATTATACAACTAGTTCTAAATACTCAAGAACTTTAAACAGATATAATAGTGATAAACATTCAATAGAGGAAACATGCTGATGGTATTTTTTTTAAAATAGGCCTGCCAGACAAGCAGTTTAAAATATCAACAGTGCATATATTATAAAATAAAAGGCTTATAACTCTTCCAATATTAAACTATAAATTTGTACAGCTGCCTTTTAGAGTAACTACTTTTTTAGATCTTTATCTTCTATCATAATTTAAGTGCAGCAACCTATAAATATTTTTGTTTCTTATAAATGTTAAATTATGGTAATGCCTAAAGAGCCATCATATTCATTTTGCTTATAAAACTTATTACAACTTATTTACTGACCACAATGACAAGTCCCTCTAATAGCACCTGGGATGCAGAGATATGAGGAATGCTTGGCTCTTCAGACCAACTATGCAACAATAGCACCACCTATCACCAATTAAACACAAAGGCTATAAACTCAGCATAGCAAACTATAAGAATTTTCCTCTCTACAAATTCCTTTGTGAACACTAATTTTGTAAATGAAAGCCATGGCCATTACAAACTGCAGCTCTTAAGTCTACATTTTATTATGAAATAAAATTTAAAATTTAGAAAAAGCCTTCAAAAGTCAATTTTGTTCAGCACCCAAAGCAGTAATTACACATTCTCTGAAATCTGGAAATCATACTCTCTTTCATTTTAAGCACACTTTGACTGAAAGGTGTATCACTAAAGTAATCCAATTATATTATAGATGCATTATTGGCTCTTTCCACCAAATGACAAGTCATTTATTTTTTGAAAATAAAATGTCTGCTGGGCAATGGATAAATAATATTCTTCTTCAATACATGTACTGTTTCTATTAACAAGGAAATAAAAAAAAAAACTTGCTTTGAAATTACAGAGTAACGAAAACCACTTCTCATTATCATATATAAGGTTTGTACCTATAACAAATCATTGTATTCCAACACAAAATCTACTCTATACTATTATTTTCATATGCCATAAGTCTAGCACTTAACTTTTGGTTCTATCAAATAAAGCCCTAAAGTTAAAAAAAATCATATTTAACTGAGATGCTGTACTAAATTACAATAAACAGTAAAGAATAAAACAAACCTGTCTTGGCATACTCACAATATAATAACCGTTTGTTATCACTAGATTAATACACAAGAGCTTACTTTGATATAGAAAAACATTTTAAAATCTGAACACACAATGTTTTTCAAAGTAATGGCTTTTAAAACAAACCTAAATGCTAGCTTCTACTCTAAACCCCTCTTTAAATGTACAGAAACAGGTAGAGAAAAAAACACATTAGGACTGATTATAAAATGCTTCCTCACATTCATTACCCATCCTTTATTGCCTCTATATTAAGCTCCTAGAAGCTTTGTTTAATTTTAAGATAAGGAAGAGGGAAGAAACACTGTCCCTATTTATAGGTATTTGTGAATATGTTAAAGTCAAGATTGTTACAAGCATAATGCTAAAGTGTCCTAAGGGAGTCACAAATATCAAACTTCCCAGAGAACTAACTCTTCAGTATGCGCAAATTCTATATCTGGCTATTTCAGAACAGAGACAGCGCTGACAAAGCTAACAAACAGATAAGATGGGCACATTTTAGAAAGGACACAGAGAGGATGGATATGTCCTTACAGGCACTGCTTTAGCTGCCGTCTTCAATTGCCTCTAATGTTTTATACAGTATGTTCACTGGTAATTTTGCTCTCAAATAAATAAGTGTCAAAACTGATTACATTTATTAAAGGCTTTCAAAATGATTTTTAGGTTTCTTAAAGAGAGCTCATTGAAAATGGCAAAGAATCTCCGAGATGAGGATTTTATAGATCCTGAATAAAATTACCAGGAGCTGTAAATTCACTTTTAAACCAACAATAATAAATAAATCCAAGGGTAGAACTACAAGGAAGGAGTGTACCAAGCAATGTTCCACCTTCCTGGCAACTGCGGTTACTTGGGGAAAGGAGGAAACCTCTCCAACAGCTCCCCATGGGTCTCTGCCTTTGTTCTTACTGGCATTTTAATTTCTGATGACAGACTTTTGTTGTTTGGAGCATAAACCGGACGTACCAGTTTGGAGGCACAATAAGGAGAACAAAGAATGATTTGTTCACACTGTAGGGGAAAAAAATCTTTTCCAACCATAGAAAATAGCTTTCGCATGGTGAAAATATGCAAATTACATACCAAACCAAAAAAGATGGGGGGAAAGCACAAGTTTAGAATCTCACAATTCAATCAAAGGCAAAAGGAAATTATAACAGCCGAGACAATAATACATACAGGGAAAGGCTATAAAAGTTGTGGGAGAGCTTTCTAAGTGCTTTTAGAGGATTCTAAAAGCAAATGAAGGTCATCTAGTCCTCAGAACCAAACTTGTTTCTGAAACCCTGATGACTTTTCAAACATATATGACTACCAAATAAAAAATTCATTAAAAAATCAAGGACAAAAACAACAAGGCTTTATAATGACAGAATTAGGACAAGAGTACATATTTACACCCTCCACTACTCTTTAGACCGGCGGTTCTCAATGACCCTTTTGGCGGTCAAATGACCCTTTCACAGGGGTCGCCTAAGACCATCCTGCATATCAGATATTTACATTACGATTCATAACAGTAGCAACATTACAGTTATGAAGTAGCAACGAAAATAATTTTATGGTTGGGTCACAACATGAGAAACTGTATTTAAAGAGCCAGAAGGTTGAGAACCACTGCTTTAGACACTGGTCAAATGGGGAATTGTGGGCTACAAATGATTCTTTTTAGCAAACTTTATTAAACAGACATATGGGGAGACAGGAGGAGAGAAGGGCTTTTGTACTATGATAATCCAGACGGAGAATTTTGTGGTTTCAAGGAAATGTACCACTGAACGCAATTCAAATACCAACAATATTATTTCAGATTAAAGCAGAAAAAAAAAAGATAACAGACAATAGCCCAGCCGCGGCCGCTCAGTGGTTGAGCATTGATCTATGAACCAGGTTGCGGGCTAGATTACCAATGTGAGGCATGCAGGAGGCAGCCAATCTGACTCGCTCTCCCTTTCTCTCTGAAATCAATAAAAATATTAATATATATGTAAATAAATATATATGTGTGTGTATGTATGTGTATACGTATATGTATATGTATATGTGTATGTGTATATGTATATGGGTTCTGTCTGTTCCACATCTTCTCCAGCAGGTAGTGTTAACCATTCTGGTGGGTAGGAGTCACACTGTGGTTTTAATTTGCAGTTTCTTCATGACTAAGGAGACTGCTTTTAATTCTTCTTGGAATTTAGTTATACTACTTCATGAATGACTATTAAAGTCTCTTGCCGAATACAGTTGCCTGATTCTAAAAAATTATGGATTTAAATGGTTGTGCATGATGGAAAAAAATGTATAAATCAGTCTCTGGAAAAGCAATGCTGCCTCAAACTAAATGTAGAAACAGTCTTTACTATAGTAGCCCTCCATTAGGGCAAATGATGTAGGATGTTTGTCCTATCGGACTCTTGATTTCCAGAGATTTGTATGATAAACAGTACAGAATCTGAATAAGATTCAAGAATTCTTTACAGCAGCTCTAGAAAAAGGTAAAGCTTTTCATACTTAATTGAATTCCTATTTAATTCCAAATCCAGTCATGAGAAATCTTTCCACCCAACTAAGAAACAAATG